CCAAGAAGCAGATGTTCAGGGCAGGCCTGGCCCCTGTGACCACATTAGCGAGCTCTCTGCCCCTCCCACCTGGCCAGGGCAGCTGTCAGTGACTGCCCCAGGAGCCCTGATTTGATTTGAGGCCATCATCCCCCGGGCCTCCCCCTCCCCCAGTCCCCTTCCTGGGGCAGACACAGCTGTCTCCTTGGGTGATTAGGGAGTCTCCCTGGTTCCACCCCTCCACCCCATCCAAGTCGCCTCCACCCTAGAGAAGTTGCAATTTACATGTCAGCCACGAGGCTGCCCCAGCCCTGTTGTAATTAGCTTTTTGTTCTTGCCTGGTTTCCATGGCAACAGCCTCCAGAGGAACCTTTTCCTAGGCCCCTTCCCCTCCGAGCCCTGTCTCCTCCCACAGCCTCCTTCGGGAAACCCGCCCTCCACCGTTCCCACCCCGCGTCCCTGGCCTTGGTCCTGACAAAGCCACTCCTGCTGCCCCGTTTTGTTCTGAGGGGTGCCCCAGTGGGCAGCAGGCCCCACCCACCCAGCCTGAGCCCTAGGCTGGCCGTCTGCAGAGCGTGGCTCTGTCTCGCACTTGCTGTGTGACCTTGGGCAAGGGACAATCTCCAGGGTGTGACACCTGTCTCCTGGGTTCCAGCGGGGAATATAGGACCTCTTCTTCCCCTCAGTCCCAACATCTGTGAGGTGGGCTAACAACAGTGGAGGGGAGGCGCCGGGCGGTGATGCAGCTGTCCATCCCCGGAGCCCGGCTTTGTTCCCGCGTCCTACCCCCAGACTCCGCGGTCCCGGGGTGGGTACTGCCCACCCAGCTCCACCGGGTGCTCTGACCAGGCTGGGCTGAGCCGAAGGAGAGTCCCGGCCCGGACCAAGGTCACCCCGACTTTGTGCCCAACCCTTCCCCCCAACAAAGGAACAGGGCGGGGTCAGGAAGCCCAGGGCTGTAAGAGGGAGGTTAGGGACACGGGGGTGGCCTGGCCGCTGGGAGGACATCCTGTTGCTGGGGGGTTGGGTGGGGGGGGGGCGGGCGGAGTGGGAGCACGGCCGACAGAATCGTTACGGCTCTGAAGGGTGACGCCCCACCCAAACCTGCCCACCCATCCATCAGGCTCAAGGCTGCGTAGGGACCCCGGAGAAGAGGGCCACGCCCAGACAGTCCCCGCAGCCGCAGCCGCTGACTCGAGCCGTGCTCCGGCAGGCCAGAGGTGCCCGGGCAGGGACAGAGGACACACGGCGTGCAGGCGGCAGGGCGGGGATCCCGATGCCCCGGTCGCCCGCCCGCCGCGGGGCCCGGCTCGTCCCTTTGTTCTCTCTCGGCTTCGCAGGGGCGAGTGCGACGCGGGGCGCGGCTCGCGGGGCCCGGGCGCCTCCCTGCTTCCCTCCCTCCGGGGCCCGGCGCGGGGTGGGGGTGCGGGGGGCGCGCGGGTCTCGGGGCCCGGAGCGGGGCGGGGGTGCGGCGGCGCGCCTCCTCACCTTGGCCCCGATCTGGTTGCCGCACTGGCCGGCCTGGATGTGCACGATCTCCCTCATGCTCGGTGCGGGCGGCGGGCGGCTGCGGGACACGCGCGTACAGGCCGGGGCTGGCTGCGGAGGCTCGGGCGTCCCCGCCGCCCGCTCTTATAGGCCGGGCCCCGCCCGCCGCGCCCGGCCTGGCGTCACCGGGCGCGGCCAATCGGAGGGCGCCGCCGCAGAATGCGGCACCGGCCTGCACCATCAGCACCGCGCATCCCCACTCGGCCGCGCGCTGCGGCGCCTCCTCCCGCCGCCGCCGGGGTCTGGGGGCCCGCGGGGCGCGGGGGGGTGGGGTGGGCCGCACACTGAAAGGAGGGGCTGGCGGGCTCCGGGGAGGACAATAGAGGCCCCTCTCGGCTCTCGGACGCCGCCTAGGCCGCCCTCCCCGGTCCCCGCGCAGCGGCAGCCCCACCCTGAGGCTTTGCAAGGACAGCCTTTCTCCCCCACACCCGTTCAGGGACCACCCCCACGTTCCCACCCCAAAAGACGAGATGGACGCCTCTCAGCTCCCTGTCTTGTGACAAACAAGGTACTCTGAGCTTTGCCGGATCCCTTAGGGGTGGGGGACGCGGGGAAAGGCTGCAGCAGTCACCGAACCCTCCAGAAGAGAGCAGGGGGCAGGGCTCAGAAACGCCGAGTCAGAAGGGCGGTGGGAGAGGGTGGCAGCTTCTGCAGTGGGGGTTGCGATCCTGCCTCCTCCTCCCCCCCCCCAGGGGCCTGCCACGCGATTCCGGACGGACCTTGCCCATGTCACAGCGCCTGCCATGTGTCCGCTGCTCAGTGAATACCGGTGTCAGGAATGGTCATAAGGACACAAGCCAGTCCAGGGACTGACAGGGTGAGAGGTGGTGGGCAGTGGGTTCTGTCTGGTTCACCTCCTGATTTCACTTGTACCCCTAGACCCTTGGTCCAACTGAGGCCAGCACAACGTGGTGGTGGTGGTGGGGGGGGTCTATGTGGTGAGATGGTGTGTGCCTAAGGCAGAGGGGGTGGGGCTCTTGGGGGAAAAACTGGGAGGGGGGTCCCCTGGTCAGAAAAGAAGGGAGAGAAAGAAGCAGACGAGCCGTGCGGACGTTGTGCTGCACGTACATATGCCACTGGCTCGATGTTCCCCTGGGGTCAGACATCGTACTGCAACCACCTTACAATAAGGTCCTTCTGATGTTTCAGTAAGAAAATCTTCCAGGGCCTCAGTCACAGTGCCCGGAGGTTCCACAAGCAGTCGGCGGTGCGCCTGTGTGTTCCCTGGGTGTGGCTGTGCACAAGCCCCTCTTTCCCTCCTGAAGCTCTCCAGTTTGGCTAGTCCAGAAATGGGTCTTTTGTTCTCCAGAGACACCCCTCCCCCACAACATGTCCACGATGTGGCTTTCTGTGGTTGGCTTCTGGCTGCCTGGGGCCCCTCCCGGCCTCCCCGACCCCCCCCCCCCCCCCACACACCCTGTTCAGGGGGTCGTTGGTGAGCCTTTGGCTCTTCCCCGGAGCTGGCTGCACCTCCCCGTCTGAGCGAAGGAAGAAGCGTTGCAGCATCCTGCTGGCCAGGACCCGTTACCCACATGCCCTGCCTCCCTGAGTGATGGCATCAGGCCAGGCCAGCTCTCCCTCCATCCCCAGAGGGCTCTGGTGCCAGGTTCAAAGCTGACTCACCATCCTGTCTCCCAGCAGAGGCTGGCCCTGCCGGGAACCAGCTCCTGGCCTTGAGGCCAGCAGTCTGGGCTGAAGCTGCCAGCATGGGTGGGGACTGGCTGGGGCGGCGCTGCGGGGCGGCTGGCCGGGGGCTGCAGGAGCCCTCAGCGTCACTAGACCTGCCTTCAAACTGGCTGGTCCCGTCACTTTGGCCTCCGCCGAACCTGTGTGAGGAGGGGGTCGTCTGTGCGCTCAGTATGTGTGGAGCAAACCGGGTGGGCTCTTCAGTGGGAAACCCAGGATCGCAACAGAGGGGGGACCCAAGGCTTTCTGGCACCAGGCAGCATGGTTCACCCCAGATGTCCACCCCCTTGGGGTGTGGACTTGGACAGGCCTTGGACAGACTTACTCCATTCGGGGAGGCCTTGCCTCAAACACTTCCCAGAGCTGGCTGAGTCCTAACCCCCCCTTCCAGAAGGGCAGTGCTGGGGGGGAAGCAGACCCCGGCCCCCAGCCCACTCTACACTGTGGGCCCCTCCATGTTGTTCAGAGCAGACACGGAGGAGGGGTGCCATGACTGGGCTGAGAGAGGGCTGAGGTCACAGATGCGTCACGGGGGTCCAGCTTTGGCTGCAGCCTGGACAGTGTCGAGTCGTGTCACCATGGAGGTGTCTGGGGTGGTGCGGCTGCTGCTCCTGCTGTCTCTCTACTCTGGTTGCTCTGAGCTGGGGGTTTGCGCCATGAAGAGAAAACCGGACACGGGCTCAGAGCAGGTGTGAGTGCCCCCCCCTCCCGCCACACTCTCCCCCTGGGCTGGGCTTCAGGCACTCTGGGTCCTTTGGGGCTATGGCTTTTTTCTTCTTTCTTTTTATTTATTTATTTATTTTTTTAATTTATATCCAAGTTAGTTAGCATCTAGTGCAACAGTGATTTCAGGAGTAGATTCCTTAGTGCCCCTCACCCATTTAGCCCATCCCCCCTCCCACACCCCCTCCCGTAACTGTTTGTTCTCCATATTTAAGAGTCTCTTATGTTTATGCCTTTTTTTTTAAAAACATATTTATTTATTTTGACAGAGAGAGAGAGAGAGAGAGAGAGAGAGAGAGAGAGAGAATGAGCAGGGGAGGGGTGGAGAGAGAGAGGGAGGAAGAATCCCAAGCAGGCGCCGTGCTGTCAGCACGGAGCCCCGTGCAGGGCTCCGTCTCAAGAAGGGTGAGATCATGACCTGTGCCGAAATCAGGAGTGGGATGCTTAGCTGACTGAGTCACTCGGGGCTGTGGCTTCTTCACCTGGGCAGGCCAGCCACGGTTTCTGGCTGGTTTCTGGGACTCACTTCACCCTGTTCATCACCCTCAACCCCACCCCTGCCCCTCCCCCTTCCTCCTCCCCCTGGCTTCAAGCAATTTCCAGAAAGAGGCAAGACGGATGGTGGAGGTGATGCAGCGAGCACAGCATTTATTACCAGGCCACCTCCCAGCCCTGAGACCCTGGGCTGACGCTGGCTCACTGCTTCGGGCCGACAACCCCCGCCTTGGCCTGAGCAGGCACTGGCCGGCGCCGTCTGCCAGATACGTGGGGTGCACACAGATGGCCGCCCCCAGCCCCCATGCTCTCTGGTCACCGCTGAGCCTTAGATCAGCCCCGCCCTCCGCCGGAGCCCATGCAGACACGGTCCCTCCGCCTGAAACGGCAGCTCACTTCTTCCTGAAGCAGGCCTGCGAAGCCAGGTCCTGCTGGTCACAAAGTCCCTTTTCCAGAGGCCCTCCCGGGGAGCAGTGCTTGTCATTCGGCCCACACGGAGACTTCGCATCCCGACAGGCCAAGGGGCACAGATCCATAGACTTGGAGGCAAAGGTGGGTGTCCTCGCCTGGTGCTCGGCCGGAGGTGGAGCGCTCCAGGGGTGGGCAGGGTCCCCGTCCGGGGGCCCGGGACCCACCTCTAGTGCCTGCGGCCCCGCCATCTCCCCGGCCTCCAGTCTCCACAGCAACTCCTGGAGGTCTGTGCTCTCTCCCTCCCTTCTCGGGCCCCAGAGGGTCCATGCCTCCGCACCGCCAGAGATCGGCTCATCCGTCCCCTTTGGCAAGTGCCTGACCCTGTCGCACAGGAATCAGGCCAGAGGACATCCCCACCTCCCTCTGCCCGGCACCCTGGCCCCGAGCCCGCAGCCTCACCATGAGCACAGCAGCACCTCTTGGAGCGTCTTCCGGAGCTCCTGGCTGCGGAAGGCGTAGATGAGGGGGTCGACGATGGAGTTGCAGATGATGAGGGTGAGGAAGAGGTTGAAGTTCTTGAAGACGCAGCCACAGATGGGGTGTCGAGGGCAGAGGACCATGAGCGAGAGGTGCAGGAAGAAGGGGCCCCAGCAGAGAAAGAAAATGCCCAGCAGGATGGTGAGCGTGGCCGCGCCCTTGAGGCCCAAGCCCTGGTGGACGGGGCGCTGCCGCTTATGGAGCCGGGCGATGCCCCGGGCGTGCTGGCACGCCCGGGCGAGCATGTGGACGTACAGCACGGCCATGAGCACCAGCATGGCTACAAAGAAGCTGACGAGACAGAGCAGGACGGCCGTGTGATCGTAGTAGGCGATGAAGAGCGTGCTGGAGAGGACGCTAGCCACCCAGATAGCTGAGATAGCCCGCCACGCCCGGGGCAGCGTGACGATGCTGTGGTACCGCAGCGCGTAGAAGATGGAAATGTAGCGGTCCACGGCGATGGCGCCCAGGAAGCAGAGGCTCGACACCATGGCGCCACAGACCAGCACGTCAATGATGTCGTCCAGCTGCTGCACCACGGCGGCCCGGCCGGCCAGGGTGCCTGCCTCCAGCACACTGCTCACGCTCACCAGCAGGTCGGACACGGCCAGGCAACAGATGAAGTAATACATGGGCGAGTGCAGGTTGCGGTTCTTGGCAACGGCGGCCACCACCAGCACGTTCTCCACCACGCTCACCAGCCCCAGGCTGAGAAAGAGTCCGTCGGGAACGGACACCTCCAGGCACCGGGGCCCCGTCTGGTTGGCGGCCAGCCCGAGGCGCAGGGCGGCTGGGGAGGTGGAGTTGACGGAGCCCAGCAGCCTCCTCTGGGGGCCCTGCACGGACATAGTCCCGCCAGGGAACAGGAACGGGGCCTCACTCTGCGGCGTCCTGCTCAGCAGTGGTGCTTCCAACAGGCTTCATCGGTCCCCCCGGGGCCGCCCTCGCAGTCACCCTCTCCCCGTCCGGACAAATGTCAGCTCAGGCACAATGCAGCTGGAAAGACCCCAGCCTCCCACCAGAGCGGTCACTTCTCAGCCAGGAGGACCCCAAGCTCCCTTGTACCAACCCTCTAGTCTCTCTGGACCCTCGGCCCACCTCCCCACCTCTTCCGTGGAGGTGCGGTGGCTCGGGTCCGGACATACGTTTTTCTATGCCTCTTGCTGCCTCGTGGCCGGCCAGGCCTCCTACTTCCCCAGGCCCGGGGTGGGCTGAGGTCCCAGAAAGAATGAAGCCTTTCTCCGGTTCTTCCAAGTCCCCGGAGCCCCTCCTCCTGAGGGCAGCCACGTGCTCGCTTCGGCAGCACATATACTGAGGGCAGCCACATGATGGGCGTGCACCCTGGACGCACCGTCAGAGAGCACCCATGGTACCCAGGCCTGCTACCAGGCAACACAAATGGCATCCAGGGCCGTCCTCACTCCAAGGGCCCTGGACCTTCAAGGGCCCCTTCAGGGCTCGGCTGGGGATCTCCCGTCACCTGTGCTCCACCATCACTCCCAGCCTGGCTCTGCTCCCGGCATCTGTTTGCGTGTGGCGCGGGGACGGGTGGGGGGGGGGGGGGTTCTCCTCTAAATCTACCCCAAGCCTTCTAACCCTCCTCCAGGCCCGCTGTAAACACCACCTCCTTCCTGGAGCCATCTCTGATCCCGGACACCCACCTGATACCACTCTGCCTTGGGAACAGCCATTGGCTGTTGACCACCCCCGGCCTGCAACACCCCCATGTTAAATGCGAAGGGTAGCCCCTGCCCCCAAGAACCCCACCCCCTTCACTGAGACCTGCTGCAGGGCATCCTGGTCACAACAGCCTTTTGCTCTGCCTCATCCTCCACTGGGGGAGGGGCAAGCCCCCATTTCCTCTGCGGAAGAAACCACTTCAAGGGCAGACCTCGGTCTGCGACCACGTGGTGCGCTGCCCGAGCCACCGCGCAGCCTGCGGGCACCTCGCCCCAGAGTGCTCCCGGCGCTTTCTCACCGAAGACTGCCATCTCTCCTCTAAAGGGCGAGGGTGGGCGGGGGAATCCAACTGTTGGTTGACAGGCAGAGAAAATCCGGAGCGAGAAAGGGGAGTGGCTCGTTCTGTGGTGGGGGGGGGGCCAGGAGGGGACCGGGAGGGAGGTCTCGGTGTTCCGAGCGCATCTGTGACATTCCCGTCGGAGCCAGGTGGCCTCTGATGGCAGGGCCCACACGCGTGACCACACGTCAGTACGCGCTTGTATCACTCATCACACAACTCACAAAGCTCCTTTACCCCCTTTGGTTTGTGCTCTTTATCGAAGTACCTCATACGCAAGAAGCACACAAATCATAAAACGTGCAGGTGAGCGGGTGCCCCAACCTCCACACAGCCAGGAAGGCAGCACCCACGTCAAGCCATCAAGCACGAGCTGCACCAGAACCCTTGGGGCGTCCCCCCCGCCCTGGGAGCCACCCCATGACCATCAGTGAGTTCTGCGTGTGCTCTCCTGCTTTCCTCTGCTTCGCGCTCAGACACCCGTGCGGGTGCGAGCAGCGGTCCTTGGCGTACAGAGCACCCTGGACGTCTCCCCAGACCCGCCAGGCGTTCCTGCCCCATCTTCTGGTGGACACAGGGAAGGGCTCCCGCGGGGCAACGCCTAGCAACGCACGTGTCTGTTTCTGGCACGAGCACCGCGCCCCCCCCCCCCCCAGAGAAAAAAAGCACACCCCCCCGAGGAACGGGGCACCCGAGGGAACCCCCCACCCCCCCCCCCCCGCCCCACCCCGGCCCGGCCCAGCTTTATGCCTTCTGTGGACTCCACCTCCCACTCTCTCCGCCTGATGGAGAACTCCAAAGGGAGCAAAGGCTCCCAGGACCAAAGGGTGGCGCCACGGCCAGTGGGGGTGGTCCCAGGACTCACGCTGTGGCTGTCCATCACCAGGGACCAGCTTCTTGACCACCCTCCACATGTGGGGGCACCGACCAAGAGTCTGTCGTGGGAGCAGCCTCGTCCCCCGCCTCTGTGCCGTCACACTTCAGGGCTGTTAGTATTTCCGGCTCCACAAATGAGGCCTTTGAGACAGACGCGCCCTCCCCCCCCCCAACCCCCCACCCCCCCCTCCCCCGGCCTGAGACTTCAAAGGGCCTGAGAACTGGACAGCCTCTGGCGGACAACCAGTCTTCTTCCCGGTGAGGCCTCGAGACTCCCCATCTGGTTCTGACGTGCCTGTTGAGGACTTCACGGGAGGGAGACATCAGCGTTGTGATCAGTTATGGTTGTGAGGGGAAGGGTCTAAAGGAAATCACAGATAATCCCCAAGGCCTCTTATAGCAACTCCGACCTCCAGTGCCCCTAAGGGAAACTGAGGGACGGCCAGGGGACAGGTGGTGGACACAACTGTCCCCTCAGAGCACGTGGCAACATGAGACAACGTGCCCGACCCACACGTGAGGAGGCTGTTAAGAGCAGGAACCCCTCGGTCATCGTGTCCCCAGCACCAAGCGCAGTGCCAGGTGCACGCAGGCCGACAACACGCGAGCATTCGACGGGTCGAGGAGCTCCGTGTGGGGGCTGGGATGCAAAGTCCGGTGGGATACCTGTGCCTAGCCGTGGCCACAGCAGGAGGTAGGGGTCACTGACCACCGGGCCCAGGCCCCGCTTCCTTCACAGAGGTTACCCCCCGAGGGCCAGCCGGGGGACACGGCCGCATGAGCAGACATGTGGGGCGTGCGGCCCGGTCCCCCTGACTCTGGACATGGCGGGGGGGTGGGTGGGGGTGGGGGGGAGGATCTCGGGAAGGCCTGGCTCAGGGCTGGGTCACAGTGGGTTCTTTGAACTCAGGGAGGGGAATGGCTTCTGCGCCCACCCTGCAGTGTCCGCGCCAGAGACCCTGAGGTAGGGTCTGGCTTGGTGGGAGAGGGCACAACATATCAGCCCCGGGAGGAGCCGATTCACGCTCACCTGGACACGGGGTGGCAGGTCGAGTCTTAGAGCGGATGTTCAGACGTGAGACCTGGCTGTCTTCTTGTCTCCAATAGAAACAAAGAACTGCAAGTAATAACCTAAACCCAACCAGCCTGGCTGAGCACTGATGAGCTGTTAGTCTCTCAGGACAGCAGGCCCAGAGGTGAGCAGTTTCATCACGGGCTGGGGCCAGCCTCTCTCTGCTTCACTACCCCTAGGACACTGGCTCTTCATTTTGGAGGTCACCGACTCCTGGTTGCAAAATGGCTGCTGCAGCTCTGGACATCACCTCCCCATCTGGATGTATTTAAGGCTGGAAGAGGCAGGGTGCCAAGTTCTCCTTGCTTGCCTGTCATTTTCAGAGAACAAACCCCTTCGTGGAGGAACCCAGTAGACTCTTGTCCTATAGGCTGAAGCTTACCGCAGGACACCCTAGCAGGAGACCTGTGCGTCCAGGACAGTCTGGGATGATCTCACACTCAATCCCACCTACCGAATCCAGTTATGGGGACAAGGAATGAAGACACCAACACATCTGTGGGACACATGCCCTGGCCAGGGGTGTTCAAAGCAGAGGCTTCTGTTCACCCACAGATGCTGGGAACTCCTGACAGGATAACCTCACGGATGTCCCCGACAGGTGACTGCACAGTGAGGCCAGAAAGAACACTTCCTAGGAAGAGGGACTTCCTAGGAGGCAGGCCTCCGGACCAGGGCTCAGAAGACACCGATCCTGGCCCACCCAGAGCACGCCAGCAGCACCCCGCCCACCCGCCTCGTCTGCTGCCTACAAGGGTGGGGATCAGGGCTGGGAGGGCACCCAGCAGCCAAGAGCACCCAGCTCAGTGCCCTTGGCCCTTCCACAGCCAGTCAGGCTCCTGAGTCAGAGGCAGCCCTATTTGGTAGCAAGCTGTCAGGCGGGCCAGGGCCAGGACTCGCCCCGGTGATGAGCCCTCCTCCATGCCGTGCTCACTCCCTAATCAAATGCCCCCTAGTCTCCGCCATGACGTTCTCCAGAGCGGCCAGGACAGCCTTTCCAAAGCCTGCGTCTCCGCCTCCCTCCAGCTCGGGGCTGCCCTGAAGTGTCCTAATAAAACCACTCTGCCAGCGTGAGCAGATTCCGCACCTGTGGAGCCCAGCCCAAGGACTCCGGTGTCAGCCCCTACGGCTCCCAGCCAGCCTGTTCCACGTTCCTGGGGGAGGGGTGGGGTCGGGTCAAACACCGGGGCATTCTCAGCAGGGACGCTGCACTGAAGCCTGTGGGACCTCGTCTCTGCTCTGTGCCCCAAATCGTGGAGGGGCAGGCGGCCACGGAGAGAGCTCACACGGAGCCTGGGCGTGGCTGTGTGTGACCGTGGGTCATGTTCTCTCCTGGGAAACCTCGGGGGCTGTGCGGATCCGGGACCCACCTGCCTCACGCTGGGCACTGACCCCAGCCCCGGAAAAGAAGAGCCCAGGCCACACACAGCGTAACCCACTCACATTTATAGGAGACACAAAGGAGGAAGGCGGACAACACATCAGCATTTCTACTCCAGGGAACCGGCCAATTCCGACCAGAACAGCAATCGGGAACATAATTGTACAGCGTTGGGGTGCGGCATCTACGCGGGCTTAGTCCCACTCCCCGTCCCCCTCGGGGTTGTCCTCACGAGCCGCCTCCACGTCGTGGAAGTGAAAGTTGGCCATCATGTCTCGCACGGCCAGCATCAGCCTGTTCAAGCCTTGGTTGTGGTTCAGACCCCCAGCCCCTCCAGCCTCCAGCCTCTCCCCCTGCGGCAAGGAGACTCGTCTGAGCAGGGGTTGTCCTGGGCCCTGAGGCCCAGTGCTCCCAACCCGGCCTGCCCAGGACCCTGTCGAGAAGAGGAAGCCCCCAGACCCAAACGCGCGTGTCTAACAAGACCAGGCCCCAGCACGGGGTC